GGACGGATAGATAGATAGATAGATAGATAGATAGATAGATAGATAGATAGATAATCTAAAACAACAATACATTAAATTAATATATAAATGAATAAATAACCCCAAATTAATCAAAAATATGTTGAGTAAGAAGATATACAAAATAAAAATTAATAATAATAATAATAATTTTACTAATGCCTGTGCTAATGTTACAGTACAGAGTATAAATGGCACAGCACACAAAAAAATATTCATTTCAGAAGACAAGATATTGAGAAAGTAACACTGATTAGAAGGATAGAAACTAGCCGTAATCTGTTGATGAAGTACCTGAAGAAGAAAACAAAGAGAATATTTACTTACGTATTTATTATTTTCAATTGAATGGTTTGAAAACTGAATTGTGAATTGTTATCCAGACCTACATTAAATTCATTGCTAAATTCAAAATTGTTCTTTTAAATATTTACCTGAAAAAAAGACTGTTGGTTATTTTAAGATCTTGTTTTCCTGAAGTCCCTGAACTGAAATGTAAAATCTGAGCACAAAACAAACAAACAAATAAAATAATAATGAAATCCTTGACTGATGCCCAAGAGGTGCAGATAGCAATGCTGACTTAGATATGAATATTAAGCTCGTGCCTCGATTTCCTCAGAGTTGAAAGCATGCAGCTCACCTAATGTTACATAAAATGGAATTTCAGAGAACAGGCGAAGTGCAGAAGAGATAAAGAAAATATTACAGCGCAGGATGATGACGCTGTAATTGCTCTGTCTATCAGGTAATCTGCTCATCTTTCCTGTTGCTGCCAGGGAGCGGAGCGTTATCATAGATTACAGAAGATCTGGTTATGGCTTCACATAGATTGGAATTTCAGAGAACAGGCGAAGTGCAGAAGAGATAAAGAACATATTACAGCGCAGGATGATGACCGTTAATTGCTCTGTCTATCAGGTAATCTGCTCATCTTTCCTGTTGCTGCCAGGGAGCGGAGCGTTATCATAGATTACAGAAGATCTGGTTATGGATTCACATAGATAGTCCAGGTTCCTGAAATCCAATACGTCAAAGAGAGAGAGAGCGAGAGGAAGACAGAGAATCCCAATCCCAAACTGCTGATATAGACTGAGCTAGTCAACTCCACACAAAAAGGATGCATATCAGGTTGTCTGAAGCCATCTGCTGACTTCCTTCCTGCACTTTCCAATTCTGCTTTAAGGGTTTTTTTTTTTTACAAATGGTAATGGCAGAGCAATTCATCTCTGCATGAATCACTTGAGAGGAATAAATCTCTATCAAAAACATCTTGGAGTTTTAGAAGGTTACAGAGCATTAAGAGACAAATGCTGCAAGAAATGCAGAAGTGAGCGACTTTGAGGCCTGCTTTACAGAGACGAGGCTTTCTGCAGGTTAAATGGCGGTTAGCAGAAAGATGAACTCGGGCTGGCTGAACGCGCCTGTCGCTGAGGTTTGTAATATTTGTGCCAAGTGACTTTGTGTGCTTTGACAGATGGGAGGAAAAGACTGGAGTTAATGGGGTCGCCAGGCTCACGCTCCGTCTAAATGAGATAGTCAGAGACTAGGCAATGCCACGGCAGCAGCTGATGTGCATTCGGCCCTCAAGTACAGTTTTTCCTGAAAGTTTATCTCCACCTGGAGAGACCCTCTGTCATGTTTTTCTTCCCCTCTGTCAGGGTTTCTGCTGCACAGCGTTGCCCTGAGGCACAACAACACATTCAGCCACAGCAATGACATGCAAACACGGACTATCGCTTTTTCTGGTCTCCTAAGCTGCCAAGAGATTTTTGTTTGTCTTGTTTTGTTTTTATCATTTTTAAGTACTTGTACAGAGGCCAAAAATAGTTATTAAATTAAATATTTGGTTGCTGAAATGCATACGCATAAATTTACAGTAAGTGAAAAACAACACCATGAAAGTAGTTTATACCACATATATCCATTTATTTATTTTGTTTGTTTGTTTGTTTGTTTATGTTGTTGTTGTTGTTGAAATAAGTAATACTTTTATTTAGCAGTGGCTTAAATTAAATATTAAGTTGATCAAAAGTGACAGTAAAACATTGTTACAAAATATTTTTATTTAAAATATATGCTGCTCTTTTGAATTTTCTACACTGTAAAAAATATATTTTTTAAGTAAATAAAACAAAGATTGTATATTTTACAAGAAAATATTATTTCAGTTTTTCTATTTCAAACTCTCATGTTTAATTCATTGTTAATTGCTATTTCTTTGTGAACAACTGTGGAATTTGATTGCAATTTCTGAGATCCAGAATCTTGGGGGAAAATAAAATAAAATAAAAAATAAATACAAATAAAAGTAAATAAATAAATAAAAAAACAGTTTTTAACATTGATAATGATCAGAAATGTTTATTGAGCAGCAAATCAGCGTATTAGAATGATTTCTGAAGGATCATGTGACACTGAAGACTGGAGTAATGATGCTGAAAATTCAGCTTTTCAAAATTCATTTTAATATATATCCACAAACAGCTATTTTAAGCTGTGATAATATTTCACAATATTACTGTTTTTACTATATTTTTAGTCAAATAAATGCAGCCTTGGTGAGCAGAAGAGACATCTTTCAAAACAAAACAAAAATTCTGACTTTATAATAGTAGTGTATATGTTATGATGGGTTTAAATTATCATGCATGACAGAATTTATATTTGGATGAACTATTACCATAGGATTTACTTCAGCTGAATGTTTTGATGCTATTGCTGCTTTTTTTCCATATAGATTTGTGTGAGCAGCAGACTGAATATGTAAATTCAATTGTTGAAGAAAAGTTACAAAAACATCTCATTGTGTGCGTTTCATGAAAGAAGAAAAATCGTATGGGTTTTGAATGACTCAACGGGGAATAAATATGACAAATCTGTTTTTCTTCCTCCAGCAACGAGTGCCATAGAGATGGCTGAATTATTCTCAGGATGCCGCCCAAGCAAAATCACAAAACTAGACCTTAGGTAATGCTGGTTTTGATACATGCATCATTCATACACAATAAATATGTTGTTACATAAATGTCATCTCTCCTTTCGAACAGCTCAAATTTCATTCTTCCTGCTGAACTGCTGGAGTTCGCGCAGCTGCTGGAAACATACAGGCCTGTTCAGCGGCTGACGCTTGACCTGCGCTTTAATCCACTGGATCGTGACCCTGAGGTCAAAGGTCAAGCGCTGCGAAAGCTCATCCCATACTGTAATATATTAACAGATGACTGGGACTCCAGGTCGACGATGGCAGATCACATCAGTGTGATGTGACAAAAGCGTTTAGCTGCCCTTCTAAAAGACATTTGCAAACGTGA